GGGTGCACGGGGCCTAGGACAACCCTGTCCCAGTGCAGCAACATCTTTTGAGCCAGGTTGAGCACGGACTTTCTTTTATGCATTCCCACAATAATCACTGACACAGCAATTAGTGTTAACACAATTTGTGATCCAACACCAGGCAAGTTGATGACAGTGAGCAAAGCACCACTCCATCAGCTGAACAGGTAACACACCAAGCAAAGCAGGAGCAAACTGTATTTATTTACACGGACACATCCAGGGTCCCTCCCAGCTCGCTGGAAGGGTCAAAGTCCTTCAGCTCCTGCCTACATGTAAAAAGAGGAGAGCTCATGGATGCAGGAACAGTGGCGCAAGGCTGGGTGGGAATAAGACTGGGTGCCAAGCTGGGAAGTTTTCAGGGTGCATGTGTGCGGGGTCACACACCTTGTTAATTATCCTTTGTTTCAGTATTTTTCTTCCATAACAATTTAATTTGAATAAGTGTGTGTGTGTGTGGGTGGGTAGATGGATGTGTGTGTGTATGGGTGGGTGTGTGCCTGCAAAAATTCTCGTAACTCATGGGTGCCACACATCCGAACAAGTGCACAGGATATTACTCTTTGAGCACAAGAAAAAATACGTTCTACTCATGGATGGAAAATCTTAGAGGTAATTCTGGTTAAAGGCTCCAGTTGGTGGTGTGATCCCAGAGATAGAGAGGACTGACATACAGACCACTGAAGGGCTACGTGCAAGAGAGAAAACTCCCACAAGTTCTCTCTCCCCCAGCTCAGGTGCTACTGTGAAGGGGGAGTAAGGAGACCCACCTCTGCCTGCTATGGTAGCTCTGGGGCCGGGGCCAAGGGATAGCCACCTGATCTCTGAGCAGAGCAGGACTGGGCTTGGGTTGAGACCAGTGGGTAGAGATATCTCTCTTCACCAAACCCCTATAAGCTAACATGCTGTGGCACAGCCACCTGGCCACATAGCTTAAAGGGAACTCAGGTTATAGGTTTCTCCCTGCTGTGGGTTCTCCAATGGTTAACAAGATTGGAGCTTTCCCCACATTCAGAGAAGCTGAATGATTTCTCTCCTCTGGGGGCTGCCTTATATATTACAAAGTCTGACCTGTGTTTGAAGCTTTTTCCAGGATCAGAGCTGTTATGAGGAGACTCTCTGTATTATCTGACGGTTAGTAAGGCAGGAGCAACAACTGAAGCTTTTCCTGCAGTCAGAGCAGGTGAAGGGTCTCTCTCACGTGTGGGTTCTCCTGTGTCTAACAAGGTTTGACTTCTGACTGAAGCTTTTCCCACAGTCAAAGCAATTGAAGGGTTTCTCTCCTGTGTGTCTCCTCCTATGTCTAACAAGGTATGAGCTCTTCCTGAAGCTTTTCCCACAGTCAGAACACCTGAAGGGTCTCTCCCCTGTGTGGATTCTCCAATGGATAGTAAGGTTTGACTTGCAGCTGTAGCTTTTTCCGCAGTCAGAGCAATTGAAAGGTTTCTCCCCTGTGTGGGTCCTCCTATGGGTAACAAGGCTTGTGTTCCGACTAAAGCTTTTCCCACAGTCAGAGCAATTGAAGGGTTTCTCTCCTGTGTGTCTCCTATGTGTAACAAGCTCTGAACTCGTACTGAAGCTTTTCCCACAGTCAGAGCAATTGAAAGGTTTCTCCCCTGTGTGGGTGCTCGTATGGGTAACAAGGTTTGAACGTGTACTGAAGCTTTTCCCGCAGTCAGAGCAATTGAAAGGTTTCTCCCCTGTGTGGGTCCTCCTATGGGTAACAAGGCTTGTGTTCCGACTAAAGCTTTTCCCACAGTCAGAGCAATTGAAGGGTTTCTCTCCTGTGTGTCTCCTCCTATGTTGAACAAGGTATGAGCTCTTCCTGAAGCTTTTCCCACAGTCAGAACACCTGAAGGGTCTCTCCCCTGTGTGGATTCTCCAATGGATAACAAGCTTTGACTTGCAGCTGTAGCTTATTCCGCAGTCAGAGCAATTGAAAGGTTTCGCCACTGTGGGGGTCCTCCTATGGGTGACAAGCTCTGAACTAATACTGAAGCTTTTCCCACAGTCAGAGCAGCTGAAAGGTTTCTCCCCTGTGTGGGTCCTCATATGGGTACCAAACTTTGATCTCGTACTGAAGCTTTTCCCACAATCAGAGCAATTGAAAGGTTTCTCTCCTGTGTGGGTCCTCAGATGGGTAACAAGGCTTGAGTTCTGACTGAAGCTTTTCCCGCAGTCAGAGCAATTGAAAGGTTTCGCCACTGTGGGGGTCCTCCTATGGGTGACAAGCTCTGAACTAATACTGAAGCTTTTCCCACAGTCAGAGCAGTTATGGGGTCTCTCTTTTGTATGTATTATCTGATGGCTCGTAAAGTGTGAGTGCTCACTGAAGCTTTTCCCAGAGTCAGGGCACTTGAAGGGCTTCTCTCCTGTGTGGACTATTTGATGTTCAATAGGAGTTTCACAGTCACTACAAGTGCAGGGTGACTCTTGATGTGTGATTTTGCATAGAACAGTTTCTGTGTTTCTTTTCTCCTCTTTGCTCCGGTGACTGGATTTGCCCTGTCCCTCTCCTGGATAGTTTCCCTGCTGCCTTTCCCTGCTATGCTGACTCTCGCTGGTCTGTCCCTGCTCACATATCTGGGAAACATTCCCTTCAGGTCTTTCCAGTAACATCCCACATGGAGCCACTTGCTCCAGTCCTTCCTGC